AGTAGCTGGGACTACAGTCATGTGCCACCATGCCCGACTAATTTTTTCTATATATATTTTTAGTTGTCTGGCTAATTTCTTTCTATTTTTAGTAGAGACGGGGTCTCACTCTTGCTCAGGCTGGTCTCGAACTCCTGACCTCGAGCAATCCTCCCGCCTCGGCCTTCGAGAATGCTAGGATTACAGGCTTGAGCCACCTCGCCTGGCTGGCATATTGATTTTAGGTATTTATATTAGAGATTGTTTTCTGTCTTTTATTTAATTGTGACTTACGTATGATTAAATCCACAGTTAAATGTGGAGTTGAGTTGACAAATGCCAAGTATAATCCACACTCCTTGAAAACGTTCCCCAGAAAAGTTCCATCGTGCCTCTTCCCAGTTAATTCCCCCCACGCCCCCAACCCCATCTATCAGCATAGGTAAATTTTGCCTGTTCACGTAAGTGGTATTACACTGTGTGTACTCTTTCTGTATCTGGCTTCTTTCACTTAGCGTAACTTCTTTTATATTCATTCTTGTTATCAGGGGTATAGCTATAGCTTTTTATTGTTGAGTATTGTGTGAGTATACTCAATCTGTTTATCCATTTGCTAGATATTGGACCTTTGGGTAGTTTCCAGTTTGGGGATATTATAAATAAAGCTGCTCTGAATATTCTTGTACAAGACTTTTTGTGGCCGTGTTTTTATTTCTCTTTGGTAAATAACTAGGAGTGCTATTGTTGGTCATTGGATAAATATAGATATATGTTTAACTTCATAAGAAACTACTAACTAGTTTTCCAAAGCAGTTCTACCATTTCACACTCCCACTAGCAATGTATGAAGTTCCAGTTGGTCCACATCCTTGCCACCATTTTGGTGGTGTTAGACTTTTTAATTTTAGCCATTCCGGTGGGTGTGTAGTGGTAGTTCATAGTGGCTTTAGTTCGCCTTTCCCTTATGACTAACGATTGTGGAACAGTTTATCGTTGCTTCTTGGCTCATCATATACCTGCCTTTGTGAAGTGCTGTTTGTTGCCCATTTTTAATCGGGTTTTGTCTTTTCATATCGATTTGTAGGAACTCTATATATTTTGGATCTATATCCTTTTTAAAATATATGTTTTGTGAGTGTTTTCTCCCCAGAGTGTGTCTTGCCTACTCCTGTTATTGATATATTTTGATGAATAGGAATTTTTAATTTTGATTAAGTTCAATTTGTCAATGCTTTTCTTTTACGGTTAGTACTTTTCTGTGTTCTAAGAACTCTTTACCTACCCCAAGATTGTAAAGATACTCTGTTATGTTTTCTTCTAGAAGCTTTATGGTTTTAGCTCATTTAGATCTGTGATCCATCTCAAATTAATTTTTTCTTGAGACAGTCTCACTCTGTCACTCTGCATACAGTGTGGTGATGTCATTGTAGCTTACTGCAGCTTAAAACTCCTGGCTGGGCTGAAGCTCACTGCAGCTTAAAA